TAAACATTAAAAACTGGTACTATCAGTAATTCCAAAACTTAAAAATTAATTCAAGTAGAAGTTTATAGGAATGGAGAACAATATTTCAATATGATAAATGATTAATGAATACTTAGCTAATAGAGCTTCTTAAACCTTCAAGTTAACCACATTTGTGAAACTTTACAGGCGAGCAGGATATCACATCCATTGCAGTTAATAGTAAAACTCTTTGATCAAGCAAGAGCTATTAAATAAAGCTGTGGTCTGCACACTACCTCTCAGGATCTTCTAGGAGTGCTAAACCTCCCTATGTCTGTTTGGAGTAGGTGCTGTCGTAGTTTGGACCCCAGTGGGAAGGCTTGATCAACTCCAGAAATGAACCCAAATAGATTTTTGCTACTGCACAGAATTCTCAACAACAAGCATTTTATCAGCAATAGTAAGATAGTTTAAAGTGTGATACCTAAAGATCCCAAGGCTAATTTGATCTCAAGTTAAGCTATAATTGAAAGCACTATGGCCACACAAAGATAAGTCGTCATATCTACTGTAAATCAGGGAGGTCAGGAATGCCTGTGTTTAAGGGCTCTCCACTATTCCTTGATAGGAGCTAGTCTGAAGATCTTGGGGCAACTTTTTCACCTGCTGACTCTTCTGGTCAGCTTTTAAAAATAGAACCAATCATCAATCCCTTGTTTTCACCCATTTATCTCTCCCTGCATGATTTCAACCATCACATCTCAACCCATCACCCAAACCTCAGTGACTCCCATACCATCATCATCAGCTCTGACTACAACGTCATCCTCCATTTCCTCACACTGCATCCAACATCCTTTCCTCTGAATTCACTGCTAGCACAGACTTTCTGTCTCTACCAAAACTATTCCACAACACGATTAGACAATACACTGGGATGCCTGCTTTCTTTCATCTCTCAATTGCATCTTCTACTTTTGAATTAAATAGTGTCAATGTTGGTGAATTTGTGTATGCAGCTGTGTGTGTGTGTGTGTGTGTGTGTGTGTGTGTGTGTGTGTGTTCATGTGTGTGTGTTCATGTGTGCTTCAATGTATTAGATCTCCTTAGGAAGCAGATATGGTGAAAATAAACTGTCCATCAGTCAATTGCCAAGTGACCCAGATTCTATTTGGACTGTCTCACATGCCTTCTTTCTCCATTTCTATCATTCCCCCATTTTAAATCCTCTCTCTTACATGGAAAGTGTCCTGGCTGTGTCCTGCTGATGGTATTCTTCCTTCCTCTTCAATCCATTCATGCAATGACAGATGGAATCACTGAGAGCAGAGTGATAGGCAAGTAATGTCCAGAGTTCAAGTGTTCAGTGAGTCCATACTCACTATTGAGTCATTGACTTTCCTTGGCTTTCACAGCTCTTCAAAATATGGCACACTCCTAAACATCCAGTTTGCCTCCCACTGTCTCATCAATATTTGTTTATTCTTTCCAAAAGAATGTTCACTGTCTCCTAAATATGTTCAGGAGCTTTCCTCTACTAAATATACTCCCTCTTTAATCCATCCTTCCCTCTCTAGGGTTCTTTGTATCTTCCTATCAATACCTCATTTAATTTAAAATCTGCTTACTAGCTACAGGTTATAAACCAAACTCTTTAAAATTGGATGTTTTGTGGCTAGAAAGATGGCTTGGGGGTTAACAGAACATACTGCTCTTGCAGATGGCCAGAGTTCAGCCCCAGAACCCATTCAAGTAGCTCACAACCACCTGTATCTCCAGTTCCAGAGGGATCCAAAACCTCTGGCCTCTGCAGACAGCTAAACTCATGTACACATACCCACACAGAGATAAATTTAAAATAAATAATTAAATCTTTTTAAAATGGGATTACTAGGCCTTCGATTATCTAGATTACACGTGTAATTTTAGCCACATTTCCTATCACCTACCCTAGACGGTGCTGAGATCCAAACATAACAGAGCACTGCCTTATCCTTACTTTTAGAGTTATTTTAAGGCACTTCATTCTGCACCATATCTTCTGGGACAAGAAACCCATGTTATTTATTCCTTGTAGACTATCTTCCTAGCAACAGGACTCTTGCATGACTCCAAGCATGTTCCCAGGATCTTCCAGATCACCTTTATTAGTGTGAGCCATGCTGCTAGTATTGTCATGACAGGCCTTATGGAGAGCTGAGGGTAGTAGGGGTGTGGAAAGAGCCTGACTTGCCAACTGTGCAGCTATGTATGGGGACTGAAAACAAGTTCTCCGGAGACCTCTGCATCTTAACCCAGTACTCCAAGCATCCCAAGAATTCTGTTTTCTAGAACATTATCAAGGTATAGTTGCTGAAGAGAAATAATAGAACAGATTTTATAATTCGTTATATTGTTTTTTAACTTTCAGATGTTTTCTTATATGAAGATACGTGGGCCTGTGTTTGTTATGCTTGCCCTAACCCTGCAAAAGGGAAAGGCTAGCATGCTTCCAGAAGGCCTTCTTTTAGCCACATGTCTTTGAAGTTGTTTAATGTGTGATCCTTCTTACCATAGCAATTCTGTGTCTGTTATTCCCTCTGTCTACAGTACCAAGGAGTCTCCTTTGTAATTCTGAATCACTCTTGAAGAGGATGGAAATTGCTACAATTGTCCCTACAGTTACAATTTAACATCATTGTGGAAATACAAGCCTTTACAAGTAGACACAGGAAAGGAGAGATACTCCACAGAAAGCTAGGTGGAAACCACATCTGTTTCATAGTATGTGAATGTGTATTTGAAAAACCCATAAGAATCAACAAAAATTGATTTGTAAATGATATGTTAAAGAGGGTAGCTATAAAATTAATTCATAAAATTCAATAAATTTCCTATATGTGAACAATAATTAAATAGCCACAGAATGAAAGATATTATTTCATTTATAATTGTGGCAAAAAAGATAAAACACTTAAGAACAGAATTGAAAGAAATGTATACAGTATGTATTTGGAAAGTCTGAATCATTAAAGACTTAATATCAAAATCTTTGATGAGTACAAAACATAGTCTACTTACAGAAAGAAAATCCTCTCATAAATATGTCCACTCTCCCAAAATTAACATGTCTGCTCAGTCAAACATTTACAGCTCAGTGAAAACAAGATTTTTCAACTGATAAAAATCATGTTAAAATGATTTATGTGTGAGCAAGCCAGAAAGTGTGCTACCAGACACTAAAATGAACTCTATTTTATTTTATATTTGGTCTTAGCTCTAGAAGATACTGCAAAAAAAAAATGGAAGCTGAAACAAGCACTAAATGGGTGTTTTGGTATGCCATAGGCTTGAGCTTCAAACCAACAGAATCAGCAGTAAAATGACTTAGCCAACCATTTGTATTAGAACCCTTAGTCAGCCATTTCAAGAAATAAAGAAGAGACTGTTTACCCCATTCCTCATATCAAAATTTAATTCCAAGCATATCGAAGATTGTAATGTAAAAATGAAATAAAGCAAGAGATAAATTCAATGATTTTAAATTTAGAAGTGCTTATAAATCATGTCACAAAAAGCAGAATTCAAAAAGGAAAGGATTTTGGCATAAAACTATTTAAAATTTACTGCTTATCACAAAGAAAAAATAATGTAGCAACTTTAAAGTACAAGCAGAATGTTGAAAACTAAGAATATATGTATTTATCAATAGATAGATAGAACTTGTAAATTACAAATTTTAAACATCTTCACCCCAGCTCTAGCCATGTACATGACCCTAAGTGGAGCCCAGAAGCATATATTTACTAAATTGAGTAGAAAATGTTTCCAATAAGAGGGAATTAATAAATCGCAACATAGCTATGAAAAGGAACAGCATGGCATACTTGCTGAGTTTGTAAAGAAGCAAAGTATAAAACTGTGATCTCATTTATGCAGAAAGAGATGAGTCTGTGTTCATATCCACACGTAAGCATCATTAAGCAGTTATATTAACTGTAGAAAATAGCCTGTTTTTTTTCTGTTTGCTTGTTTTCATTTATAGCCCTCTCTACTATGAAGAGTTCACCAATGATTCAATATTATATTGCGTTAATATTCAGCCTGATTTTTTGACTGTTGATTCTCCCTCCATACACAACACTCTTTTAGTAGGCAGGTTGATGTCAGACATTATTCTCTTTATAGCCCTGTGGGACGTTTTCTTAATTAATGATTAATGTGGAGGGCCCAGACCACTTGGGGAAGTGCCATCCCTGGACTGGTGATTCTGGATAGCATAAGAAAGCAAACTGAGCAAGCCATGGAGGGCAAGCCAGTAACCAATACTATTCCATGGCCTCTACATGAGTTCCTGCCTTGAGTTCCTGCCCTTACCTCCCTTGGTAATGAATTGCAGGCTGTAAGACGAAATAAACTCTTTGCTCCCCTTCCTTTGGTCATAGTGTTTTATCATACCAAGAGAAACCCTAATGAAGAAAAGCACTATCCACACTGAGCTGTAACTAATTATTTACATACATGTTTATCCTACCAGCCTCTGAGCACCCTCTGAGCAGACATACTTTTCTTTGTCTTCATGACCACTTCATTTTCCATAGTATCTGACACAACAAAGATGGGCAGTGGGCATTTGGCTCATGGGTAAAAATCAGTGAATACATCATCTCCTGCCACCTTCCACATTCAGTCTCTTCCACAAGTGTCCAAAGTACTTAGTGCATCTCTAACCATCCATAGGTCATTCTTCTTTGTGAGTCCTTCCAGCAGACCCACAAAAGCAAGAGCAATGTGGTACTCACTCTCCATCCCAGAGTCAGGTGTGCTGTCGGGCCTTAGGTGGAGTCCAGAATTAAACTGAAAGCATGACTGTAAACTTGAAAATTGAGCCGAGGAGACTCATGCCATGGTTCCAAAAAGAAATTAGTTCCAACTGTTTGGGTCTTTATGAAATGCCTAATTTTTATCACCTGATGCTAGGATGAAGACACAATGAGCTTATATTTTTAATTATCTGATCATTTTAAGTCATATTTCTTCTCACCAGGTAAAAGAACAAAATGGCAAGAGGTAATCGAACCACTGTGACAGAATTTGTCCTCATGGGATTCACAGATCGCCCTGAGCTTCAGCTCCCCCTCTTTGTAGTATTCCTGGTGATTTATCTAATCACCCTGGTGGGAAACTTTGGCATGATCCTGCTCATCAAGGCAGACTCACGGCTTCACACACCCATGTACTATTTCCTCAGTCACCTGGCTTTCATCGATCTCTGTTATTCATCTTCCATTGGGCCCAAAATGCTGCAAAATTTATTGGTGAAGAAAAAAACCATCTCCTTTTCAGGCTGTTTTGCTCAGCTGTACTTTTCCAGTGCTTTTTCCACTACTGAATGCTTCCTCTTGGCTACCATGGCCTATGACCGCTACATGGCCATCTGCAACCCCCTGATCTACACAGCCATCATGACACAACGGGTCTGTAAGGAGTTGGTGGTAGGTGTCTACACCTATGGCTTCCTGAACTCTGTGATACAGACAGTACTGACTTTCCAGCTGTCTTTCTGCAACTCCAATGTGATCCACCACTTCTATTGTGCCGACCCCCCTCTCCTCGCACTCTCCTGCTCTGATACCCACAACAAAGAGAGGCAGCTCCTGATCTTCTCAGCAGTGAATCTCACTGGATCCCTCATGACCATCCTCATCTCCTACATCTGCATCCTGGTCTCTATTATAAAAATTCAGTCTTCCCAGGGCAAATGTAAAGCACTCTCCACCTGTGCCTCTCACCTCACTGTGGTCACCATCTTCTATGGAACATTATTTTTTATGTACCTGCAGCAACCAAAAACAGGGAATTCATGGAGGTATAGCAACGTGATCTCTGTGTTTTATAGTCTTGTAATTCCCATGCTTAACCCTCTCATCTATAGCCTGAGAAACACAGAGGTAAAGGATACCCTGAAAAAAATGTTAGAGGGCAAAGCTTCACAGTGAGTGGGATACTAGGATGTAGCACTGAGGACAGCTGTATACACCAAGCAGATGTAAAAGGAGCAGGCCAACTGCTATCCAGTAAGAAACTAGTTAATTTAATTGAGGACTTTCATGGCCCAAAATAATGAACCACCTGATGGACATAAGTCATATTTAATCTAAGTGGTAGTCATGAACTAAATAGAATTTATTTTCCAGCTAGAATAATTATGTCAATAATTATGTATGTCCTTCATGTGTTAAAGATGAAAGGGCTGACTAACACTTCAGAATGAATTGAGCTCTACAATCATAAAAATCCTCAAAGCCCATATTCTGAGTAAAACTGTACATTAATGATGATGGATGTAAACTCCCCACATGAGCATCTTGTTATTAAGCATTTTCTAGTTTAATGCAGTCTATATCCGAGCAAGCTATTTGTTAGTCTTAAAAAGCACTCTTTCATAACACACTGCTGTAAGTGGTAGTTAAATTACAAAGAACATCTCAGAAAAATCTTATTTAATCCAAATGTAGTTGCAATCCTCTGTGCTTTAAACAAGCAATAAAAATACCAGTGTAGTACTAAGGAAAGGAAAGATGGGGCTCAGCCGAGTGTGGAATGTGTTTGGGAAAAGCAGTTTAGTTGGAGCAGATAAGGGTGGGGATTGAGGGACTTTTTAAGATATTAAAAGCGGTCATTCTTTAACAACCAATGTTTAATTTTCCTTATCTCTTGAAAGCACATCTACAGTGGCTTTTCCTTTACTTTATCATTCTTTCTTCCTTACTTTCTTTCTAGATTTCTTTCCTTCTTTGGGAGTCAGGAATTATGAAAAAAAAAGAGAAAAGCAGAGTTCCCTGATGAAACTACATTGTGGTGTGCATGTTTCTGAGAAATAAAATCATTGTATTGATCGAGAAAAATATTTTAGTTTTATGACATTTTCTGTATTCTTTCTTTCCACAGATCTGAAATTCCAATTTTTTACAGATAAGCTATAAGAAACCTTGGTGTTTCTAGGGGTAGGTGGAAAAAAACATCTTTTTTTGCTTTTTTCCTAGGCAAGAATATGATTGTTCTAAGTTTCAACTCTAATACTTGTTCCAAAACAATTCTTAAGACACATAAATCTGTCACAAACCTGTAGATGGTCCCCTGTGCTGTTTTCAAAGATGATTATGATTACGTAACTTTCAAGGTTAAAAATAACTCACCAATTAATTATAAATGATTTTTTAAATTAATCAAGCAACTAAGGGGTCCTAGTTGTGCCCAAATTAACCACTCACATAATAATATGTATATGTGATCTCTGTTCCACTGTTACTTGTGACTGAGTGATTTAGGAAAATAGAATTGAGTATTTTAAATTGCTTTTCTTTAATTCAGACGTCTACTTGAAGAATTGAGTTACACATTGTATTCCTCAGTGTAGAGAATGTGTTGGCTAGATACAAAGAAAAACACTGGCATAACAACAGCACACAAGGAGAAAGGGCAGGACCCAAACAACCAGGCAGGAGGGAGAGGCTACACAGAGGCCGACAAGGAGGGAGTAAGAAGGCTCACCTGGTGCTTCTGAAATGTGACGGGAGCCTGGGTGGAAGGCCAGCAGCTCCTGGAAGACAGGCAGTGGGCAGTCTTCACTTTTCACCCCCATACCTATCACAGCTCCTGGCTAGGAACAGGTACACCTGAGCTGTTCTGCACATCTTCCTAATTCTAAAGAAAGGTCCATGGTCGGGAACTGAGATGGAAGAGGGGGTTATTGGAGTTCGGTCTGGAAGACTGGTCTTCAATATCCCCAGAAAGACTAATGTCTGAAAGACAGTAAGACATAAAAGGTTAACAACACAACTTGAACACACTCAAGAAGGAAGCACTCGAGAAGCTGATGATGGGACCATGGTCCAGGAGATGCTTCTAGCAATGGGCCTTGACACACAAGGAGCCTTTGCTGAAGAAAGACCTGACTTGTAGGGATGAACAGATACCAATGCTTTGTGGAAACTTGTATTTTCAATCAAAAGCTACATTTATTTCCTACCTTATTTTTTTCCCTTCAAACTATCTTCAAATCAATTTAACCTGCAAAAAAGTATTTATCACATATTTTAATACATGCCTCTCAGAAAATTAATTACACTCAGCTTTTCAAAGCAATATCCTGTGTAAACAAGTTCTCAGAAAACTGCAGGTATGTCATGAAACCTCTCCAGACCGCACTAAGCCCCAAGTAAATATCTTCTGAAAGTAGAAATGTGACCAAGGTAATGGAAATTGCCTAGACTTTTAAGAATGTAATATTTCCTTGAAAGTAAAAATAAAAATGTTCTCATATACATAAACAAAGTTCATTTTTTTTCTCGTGGTAATTCTGAAATGGCTTTTATTTGTCACCTTTTACCACATAAGCATCTTTCCCCGACTGGTCTAACCTGTAACCGATGTGCTACATCTGCTCGTGTAAATATGAATGCTTACTCCTTCGCACATAAATCACTAAACTTTTCAGTAAAGGTAGTTTTTCTTATTTATCAACATTTACTTCTCCATTGATTTGCCATGCCTTGAAATATATCAAAATTATTTTTTTTAAGTTAAGCACAGAAAAGAAACCCAAGAATGCCAACAACTTCTCTTTTCTGCTTCCCTTCACATTAGTTGACCTGTGCACGTTCTAACGCTTACATGTTCAAGTTCTCTGCCCATGTTATCATCTGGGCCCTGGATGTACATCTCTGGCAGAGCAGGAAAGGACTAGCAGCTCAATGCTGACAATTGGCTCTGCCTGCAATTAAGCAGTGCATCCACCAGAGATAGGAAGTCAAGGAGCTCAGAACTTAGGGAGTTCAGGTTCCTGGGACAGTGACAGACTTATCCTGCTCTTCCATCCAGGTTGTTATAAAAAATGTGAACATTTTATGAATAATCAGAATTTCTATCTCATATAAGATAGGTCAATTTGGAGAAAGGATTTGTATAACACGAGTTGTTTTATGCCTTTGAAGCAGCTCGTTTCCCAAAGATTTTCTCCCTGATCTGAAAAAATAAAATTTTGTTCCCACAAGCTTCCATTCCTTGTTTGAGTGTGTTGACCACTCAATCAGCTTGCAGTTTCCACTCCTCACTGCAGACAATGCAGTGGGTGTTGTGACTCAGCTAGGCTCAAGTGGTTTGCAAACCTAAGCTCAAGATGTTCCATGACCTCAATTGTCTCAGCTCTGGAAAGGAGCTGGGAGAGCCCAGCCCATCTCCTAACCCCAATAGAAGCCTTTTGTTTTGCTCTGACTGTCCTTTCTCTTGTTTCTATCATTCTGTTCTGTTTGAGAGTTATTATAATAAACAATATTTTATTTATCATTTTCCCTGCCAAAGCTAGCAGCTAGCTTTCTGTAGAAACCTTTCAGATGCAAAGTTTAAATGAATGTCAATTATAATAATGCATCAATTAGGAAAATGGTTAATGGTATTTGTTCATAGAAGAGCAGTCATTTATATGGAAAAAGGTTGAAATTCACTTTTTAAAATGTGAGATTATCTTTCCTTCTTACATTTACTACAAATCACAAATGGGTCTAGAAGTGGCCATAGGCACAAGCTAGCAACTCTATCAACTTTAGTCTAGGGGTACAGTTCTTTGCTCTGTTTGAACTAATTGTCAAAACACTGTCTGGTAGATTTTTGCTTCCTATGCACATTTCCCTGTACATTCAACCATTATCTTTATCAAGTGTTTATATGACCTGAACTCTCCCTGGTTCCTGATAGTGCTACAAACCTGTATTTGAGAAGTGTGTGTAACAGTAAATTGATGACACCTGCAGGCCAAACAAGCAAAATAAATGACTGTGGACCTGCAAATCACGCATGGCTGAGGAGATTAATACTTTTCTTGGCAAAAAAATGCCTTTTACAAAGCAGGCCTGGGGAAGCAGTGTTGGAGCCATAAGAAGGGGACGACTGTACAGGAGGAGCCTTGGGTCAGAGCTGAGTTGAGTTTGCTCTGAACCATATCAGCCGAGCTGCTTGACCCCTCTGAGACTTGCTGTTCTTGTCTGAAAAGCAAGGCCAATAATACCTCACAGAGCTATGATAAGAACAATCTGGTACAGAGCATTAAACTATATTCCAAGCATTGTAATAGAACAAAATTTCATTTTAGATAATCAGACTGCTAGATTTTGGTTCACCCTCAGGTTCTGTGATTTGAAGCTACTGTTCAGAAAAATCCCTATCTGTAAAAAGAGTTTATATCTATTTGTAGGACAAAACATGGAAGGTATATATGTCTCAACTAATGAACTTTCTTTATCCCTGTGGGTCTAGGGAAAGAAGCAGTCTATTATCACCCCCACAGGAGTTCTTGTCCCAAAGTTTGTTTGTAAGTCAATGATTTCCAACACAGACCCTGTTCCCTGGAAACACCATTGTTTTCTTGACTCAATGAATCTATAATACATTTACACCGACCTTTCTTTGACCCTGAATCACGAAGACTCAATGTGTTCCCAGAGGACAAAGTTCTGAAGTTCCAGAGTGGGTCGCTAGGAGCTCCTCTGTACACATGACAGCTACAGTTGTGGAGGGCAGCATTCACCTCCCGGTCTGTGACTGCTCTGAGCTGCTGGCTTCACCCCAGCCTATGAGAGAACAGTGAGAGGTGAGCCATGCCCTGGATCCAGGTGATGTGAAGGCCAACAATAGAGAGAGCATCTCACCTTCTCCTGCTTCCTTCCTTTGCTCTCTGCTGGGACTGACAATAAGCTTGGAAGCATTGACAAGAGTCAATGATGCCCCTTCCTCCACCACCTCCTTTCCTGACTTCCAGTGCTGTCCTTCATCCCTCCGCAAGAAGGCTAGAATGGGATTGTAGGTTTTCTGTAGTTTTTGTTGTTGTTGAAATCTAACTTTAAACCATGGTGGTCTGATAGAACACAGGAGGTTATTCCAATTGTTTTGTATCTATTGAGATTTGCTTTGTGGCCAAGTATGTGTTAGCTGTTTGAAACCT